TTTTTTTTTTTTTTTAAGATCCCCACCTACTGGGGATCATATGCTCTCCAGCTGCCTTGGGATGGTTGTGGCTGCATTGGAAAGAAGTAAAAACCTCCCTGAAGACAATGAGAAGAGTTTCTGTCTGTATATGAAGGACTGTTGAGCTTGACAGAAGAAAGCTGGATGAATCTGTCAGGAGAGTAAGTTTACTATTAGGTTGGGGATGTGGAGCCCAAACATGAGGAGGAGCAGGTCAGATTTCCATGCCTCCTGTGGAGGAGAGAGTATGGCAAAGAGGGATGCCTGATAAATTATCAAGAGCCTGAAAGTCAGCCCTAGCAAGATTACTCACATCATAGATCTAATAGAGGTGCCTGTTTAAGCTGTGGGTAATCGGGGTCATCAGTGATTCTGCCTGTCTGTACCCAGAGCAATACTGGAGTCCTGCTTTTTGAAAAGGAACCCCCAGTTTTCAAAAGTTCACAGGAGTAGCTTTCTTCTTTTGGGTGGTCTTTTTCCTCAGACAGTTCAGGTGGGACTGACTTTATAATTGCCAGGTTTTGTTGTTGTTGTTTTATTTTTTGGTACTGGGGATCAAACTTGGGTCCTTACCCTTGTAAGGCAGGTGGCAGAACCACTGAGCCAAAAATCCCCAGCCCTATAATTGCTAGTTTTTGCTTGGCTATGTCCTGCTCTTCTGTATAAGTCCTAACAAAGGAGCTGGTCCAACTTTGCCAGGCTTGGTAGGTGTAGTGGATTGACTAACGGTCAACTTTGTAATGCTCTGCTGAACTGAATCATTGTGGTCTGCGCGTGGAGGATTCACCTGAATTTTGTTACCAATACACATAAAAAGAGAACTGGAGGGGAAGATCTAGGCCTGTTGATTTTCTAAAAGCTTGCTGTGGTTTTCCTGATGCAAACTAGGTTGTTCTCGTCAGAGGAGGAGCTCGGGACCTTGCTGCCGCTGGGAATGGCGGCTGCTTTCATTAGGGGTTCTCTGATCTTTACTGTGAGCATCACTTCCTGGCTCCAATGTGGATCCCTCATTGGTGGCACAGATCCTTCATCTCATGAGCATAGATTTTTCTGGCTTCCACCACTGGCCTTTGGGCCTTCCAGGTGCAGATCCTCAATATGGACAAGCAAGCATGAGACAATGCTATGGGCTGTATGCCACTGGCTGGACTCGAGGAGGACATTGCCTTGGACTCTAAGCCTTTAGCTAGTCTTGTGAGAGGGAAACTGCTCAGATCTAGGCCCTCAGTTGAATGTTTTGGGCTTCCAGTGTGTGGTTAATCTCTTGTACTCCTTTGTATTTGACTTTTTGGGTAATTATCATAAAATAACCTTATAAATTATGTGTCCTGTATTTAATGTATTCCCTTGCCCAATCCTGCTGACTACAACAGGGGGCAAGCTTTGCAGGCCTGTCAGATGGTCACAGCTAGGCCTAGTCCTGTGAAAATGAGAGCAGCCATTTTCCATGTAGAGTTTTTATAGCTTTCCCACTGCATCCCTTGAGAAAGGACCAGTTTATTGTTCCTCAGGGACTAGTAATAAGGCTGGGATGTTGAGGGGCAGAGTAAGTCTGCTCTTCTTGCCTCAGTCTTCTGATTTTCTAGTGAGACTTTAGACATGTTTTTTGGGGGGTCCCTTGCTATAAACAAATGACCTGCATAGCAAGAAGTCTACCTTACTAGTAAATCTCTTACTAGAAAAGGAATAGAAGACAATGGGTGATGAATAAAAACTGAAGGTTAGGGCTGGGGAGTTAGCTCAGTGGTTCCACTGCCTGGTTTGCAAGCACAAGGTCCCAAGTTCGATCCCTGGTATAAAACAAAACCAAACCAAACCAAACAAAACAAACAAACCCTCAAAGTTAAACATCTGATCTTTTTAAATTTGTTACATTTACTGGTACACAATTTAGGGGAACATAATGATCACATTCATTTTAGGGAATTTGTACCTGTACATGATATATCTTAGTTCTTATTTTTTCCCCCATTACTCTTCCCTCCTTTTTACCCCTATTTACAGAAGCTTTGTTTCCATTATTTCCTTCTTTACTCATTTTTTTCCTTTCTCTTCTTTCCTTTCCCCCCACACCCTCTCCTTAGTTCCCCTCTGAACATTTTTTTTTCTACTTTACAATACCTATTATATTTTTAGTACATTTACACTTTATTTCTCACACTAGAGAAACAATTTGATATTTACATATGTGTGTCCAATTTATTTCACTTAAGAGTATGGTCTCAAGGTATATAAATTTAGCTATAAATGTCTCTAGTTTATCTTTCTTTATGAGTAAGTACTTCATTTTATAAAAAAAAACACATCGTCTTTACCCAATCACCAGTTTATGGGCATTTGCGATGTTTCCAAGATTAGCTATTACAAACTGTGCCACTACAAACATAAGCGTGCATATACTGCTGGGGTATGATGCTGTTAATTCTTTCAGGAAGAAACCAAAGGGTCAAATGGGTCAAATGGAACCTCTAGTTTTAGTTGTTTGAGGAATTTCCACACAGATTTCCATAGTGACTGCTCCAGTCTACACTCCCACCAGCAGTGGAGAAGGGTTTCTTTTTCCTCACAGCCCTGCCAGCGTTTGTTATTGGTTGATTTCTTTTTTTAAATTAATTTTATTGGTACATTTTAGGTATATATGATGATGTTCATCATTAGAAATTTGTACCTTTTCATAATATATCTTAGTTCTTATTTTTTTCCCATTTCCCCCGCCCTTCTGTCAACCCTTCCACCCCTCCCTATGTACAAAAACTTTATGTGTCTGTTTTTCCTTTTCTCATATTTATTCCTTTTCCTTCTTTCCTTTCCCCTATGCCTCCCACTTCCTCTTCCCCTTTGGACCTTTTCTTCCTACTTCACATTATCTATTATACATTTTGATACTCATTTATACTTTCAGTTTCTCACAATAGAGAAATGACTCAGTATCTACACACGTCCTATTTATTTCACTTAAGTGTATGGTCTCAAGGTATATCCATTTAGCTATAATTGTCTCTAGTTTCTCATTCTTTTTTTTTTTT